AAATGTTTACAAACACAGCAATCTCCAACTTCATCTCCAACACCACCATTGACAAAAATGTCAGTCAGCGATAAAAAGAAGTTATTCGAAAGTGCCATGGAAGAACATTTGAAACCCTCGCCTAAACCAGGTAAGAATATATATGTGTGTTTCGTGTATATGTATACCCCATTTACTTTAAATATTATATATATTTTATACTTATATATAAGATATCGATTTCGAAAAATAAATCAATAATATTATACATTACAGATAAAATATTCAGTTTTTTAAGTCAAGATGAGGTAGAAAAAATGAGACAAGAGGAAGGTAAGCTGTTATTTGTAAATATAGCTGAACAGTTTTTTTATTTATCATATTTTTTATCTTAACATAATTGAAAATAACTATAAAAATCATATTTTTATAGAAAAAAAAATTGCCACTTTGACGCGAGACGAACTCAAATCATGGGCACAACTTGATGAAAACGAAGGTCTCGAAGATTTTGATACAATGGATGATCAGGATAATGGACGACCTAAGTAAGCTTCAATCTTCACGTTTAAGGCTGGTATTCATAGTCGATTCTTATATTTTAGACTATCTTATGTATAGTCTTACGATATCATAAACCAATCGGAGAGCCGCATTAATATTTTAAGAGATTACTTAAAATAAGAACAGACTATGAAAACCGGCCTAAATCATTCCTTATTTCGAAAATAATGCAACCTATTACGATATATATTTTACGCATCGATAAATGGTAACATTTATGTCTAATATAAATAAGTATAAAAGTATACAACTAAATATTTAATCTACAAGTATTGTAAACAAAATTAAGTGAAAAATTATTAGATTACATGAATAAAACATATTATATCAAAACTTCTAAAAAATTTAAAAAGTTATGTTAATATTATGTTTACATTATACATGTTAATTGATTTATGACAATCTATACAATAGAATACACTAATGTTTTTAAATAAATCTTGTATAACCTGGTTAATAATATATACTTATAATTTTGTTTAACTTTAGAATAAATTAATTTTTTTGCTAGAAGAGGGAAAGGGAGAGAACGAAAGGATGGGAGAGAGAGAGAGAAAGAATATATACGTATCTTTATAATGTTAAACATTTGTATGTTTAACCACTTGAATATTAACAAGTAATGTTATAGATTGGGCACAACCGTATTACGATTAATTGCGATACCAAGGACGATTTTCAGATTATTAAATTGTTAGAATCTAATAACTTTTATAATATTCAAACTATTGGTTATTGTTAATTATAAATACAGTGCAGAAATTAGGTTTTTTATTTATGTTTCCAAGTAAGTGATAGCACATTTTAAGATATTTATTAGAAGAATTAATTTTAAACCTTAGCAATATTTGAGTATAATTGAGTATAATTATGTTTTACATATACGTATATTCTATATGTTTATTTGCATTTTTATTTATTGTCAATAAGTTTTAGATGAATTTGTTACAGCTTATATATTCCTATGATATATGCCGTTATTGGCTTATATTTATTTCTATGTTTATTTATTTATAT